ATTGGCCTATGTAAACAAGGCAGGGGTACCAGTTCCAGCAAGCTCACTGAGTCCAGCTTCTTTTATGACTTAAGCTTATTAGTGTCACAACCAAATTCCATGTTATGTACCAGACTTTGCTATCCTCAGTTGTTATCAGCAAAGGTCAGCAAACAACTTACCATTAATAAATTAAAAATATGAAAGCCTAATTTGCTTTGAATTTCCAAGTATTGTCTATCATACGGGGTCGAAAAGATACTTTTGGGGGGATATGTTCGAAGCAGCGTCTGGCAACCATGGAATTGACCTGTGAACCCATCCTTGTGTGAAACAAGAATAAACAATAAAGGCCTGTGTACTGTCATAGAAAGTTCTTTATTAAAACAGAAGTTCATTTTGTAATCAGTTGACAAAATCTAAATAATTTAACCCTCACAGCTCTTTTGGTACATCAGATATGTGTATATGGGTGTCATATAGACCTGTCAGATAGGAAAAAGTATTGAACTTGAAACAATTTCCATTTGTTTCCAAGAAGCTACATCTATTTACAATGAATACATCACAAATTTGACAAGTGCAGTTTTAGACAGTTGTGTCTACAGGTTCTACTACACTAAATCAGAACTGGTTGTGACAGTGCGGTTTTCGTAGGGAGCCTTCAGTACAGATCAAGAGACATATGCAGGCTGTGATTGGATGATATTGTGTAAGATTTTTATGTCTTTTAAATGCACATCCATCCAGTAATTAAAACTGCCCATATTTTTCAATATTTGGTGCTGACTTTTTGAACAAGATGACTTGTGCTTTATGTGAGCACAGATATTTTCAAGCAGGTGATATTTGGTGCGGAACTGGGGTTGGTGTGTTCAGCTTCCTGTACTCGGAAAAGGAGCTGGGTAAACTAGCCAAAATTTGTGTTTTTATTGCAGCTTTAAGGCCAGACTGTGCACATATGTAAATGTTATGGCTGTTGAATGCCTAGTTGTTTTTTAAAAAGCTATAACGTTACTATAGAAGTCTATGGGAAAACATTTGGTTGTGTGTAACCTGTAGGGTAAGTGCATATTTCAGCATTTCCTAATTTATATGTTTTTCTGTATATCTATTGCCATGGAGACCTTTTGGGATAATTGTAGAGGCAAATTTGAACGCAAAATGGGTGAAGCGAGTGGGAAATGGGGTTGTAAGGAATGGTTGGGCTGCCGTGATAAGCAGGGCTATGGTCGTTGCTTCTTTTTGTGGCCGTCAAAGGCGCGGACAGAGGAGAGAGCTCACAGAATAGCCCTCTGCATTGTGCATAAATGCCTTCCAGATGGTTTTAGCAACACTGACAACTTTGGCAACAAAGTTGAAGTGAGCCATCTCTGTCATAACGCCTCTTGTGTGAATGTTGAGCATTTGAAAGTAGAGTCCCATGAAATTAACATGGAGAGACTTCACTGTCGACAACAGGGCTTGTGCACCAAAAGTCATAAACCCTACTGTTTGGTGTAAGTTATGTATCTGATCATTATATCTTTCTGTTTGGGGCAATTTTTAAGATGGATTATCCTATTTTGGGTGTAAATTTCTCAAATATGCATTTCTTTTCAATAACATGTCTTTCGAATAATGAACTTTTCTACAATGATGGAGTTTGAATAGTTCTAACTTTTTCCTTGCACGGCGGTCCTTACTTTTCTGTGATTTCTTGTATGTTTTAGCTTTAAGTACTTTATTATGACTTTTGCTTATCTCATCATCTATTTTTCCTTTTGCAGTGACAGCACAGCCAAGCCCTAATCGAAGATTGCGAATTGACTTTACCGGACTCTGGCAGTTGACGCTATGAACAGCACTGTGAGCTCTACCTTGGAAGTTACGAGCAAAGGTGGTATCGCGAGGTAATGACCGGCGCAATGCCTTGTTTGTTGCCTCACACTTTTGACTATTGAGGTTGAATTGCGTCTTTTCGATCATGTTCGGGCCGAGACGAAAATCAGTGCATTTTCTCAAATTTTGAAAGTTAGTTTCATTGTTTCCAATTTTGAAGTTTTTATCTAAATATTTACTTTGCAATAACCAATTTTTCTTCTCCCCCTTGCAAACAAATGACTGCCTTCTACATTTTCTGTGATCACCCATGTAACAGTTTGCAATAGCATCAGAAGTACATGAAAGAGATGTCTTCAACTTTGTCAGGTTACCTGCATGACTTGAGTAAGCAGCTGAGAACTCAGCTGCACATCTGGATGCACAGTCTAAAGAAAATGTATTTGCCAAACTTTGTTTGTCTTTTTTGGTTCTAGCAGGCATCATATCCACAACAAATTTAGAATTTTTAATAAACTTTCTATGGCTGGCCGAGAGATGCCGTGTATCGAGAAAAGTTTGTGGGGAAACATCCATATCACCTGCTTCATACATTTCAGAGAGAGCTGTGTGAGCTGCACTGTCAGCATCTGTTGTCAAAAATTCTACCTCAATTTGATCTTTCTTTAAGTCCCTGAAACACTCTGCAGCTAACTGTTTTTCATTACCAATTGATTCTGACATGTGCAAATCAGATGTGCAGTCTGGGTTGTTGACACAAGAAATGTTGTCAACTAAACTGTGCTTTGAACAGAGCTTTGATTTTGTGTTTAAAGCCAAAATTTGATGATCACTAGTTTGGTTCTCAGTGGCCACATAGGTTACCTGAGTGGCTGGCTGAAAAGGGGTTTTCCCAACACCTGAACAAAGTGGATTGTTGTACATTGCATCAGTTGATAAACTAATGTTATTTAAATTTGTTCCCCTGTATTTATTTATTTCCCTTATTTCCACCCTCCTGGCTCTCATATCCTTTGTGTTCTGAGATTTTATATTATCACAAACTCTGTTCGCAGCTTTCTGCATCCCTGAATGGGATGGTGGAGGTATATCGGCACTCATGCACAGGACACGGAAACTCTCACTTCCAATGGGACATTTTGAGAGGCCTATCTGAAGTCCAGTATTGGCAGTGGAAGATCGACGTCCCCTTCTCATTCCACTACCCTCTACCTCCTTGTACAGTTTATGGTACTCTGACAGGTATGTACAGTCAGTGCATTTAAGTCTCTCTATCCAGTTAAGTCCCCACTGCTGTTCATTGTCTATGTCCATGACAATGTCCCCCTTACACATAGGCGAAGTCTTGGCGTGCTGGCGGAATGCCTCATTGTACAGTTTGTCAGTCTCTCCAACATGCAACAGGTGGTAAACATCAGCAGCAGTCCTGCAGATTAAAGAAAACCCATTGACTACTTTGAAAACTTCTAAATAAGCCTTTTAAGTATGTGATAGTGTTCGACATTTCTGAATTATCTCCCCTGGCAGATCAAATGCATATTCTATTTCTATCCCCCTCAAGCCCTTAATTAGGGTGTAACAACACTGTTTTTTATATGGTATTGAACAAACCACTCATATATGTATGAGAATTTGATCCCTTGCTGTACCTAATAACTGAAAACTGTCCATTATATTAAACTTTTATTAAGTGATCTCGTTAAAGGACAAATACTTGAACTTGGTAAGTTTATCCACCCATATCATTTAGCAGTGAGCATCTTGTATTCCCTACAAGTATTTCAAAGTCTAGGCCAAAGGAATAAATAGTTTAAAGTGTTATTACCTTTCACTTTTTGTTTTCAGGGTACTCTTATCCTCCTCAGGGGTGTTTTCCTTCCTTGGCCTTAATAGACGGTACGGTTCACTTGTCAGTGTTTGAACTTGCTGGACACCAGCCACCCCTACACTGCACACTTTCTTGTGGAGCTCAGTTGTCAACCTGACAGTTTTTGGCACTTTAAAGTTGCTTTGCTTTTCACTGGTGAATTTTTTGCCTGAATTCCAAGCTTTATGTCCCATTCTAAAAGATGTTATCGAATTCCTTCGATGTCTCCCCATGTTTCAAGAGTAGGTTCAAGATGTTGACACTATGAATTTTTCTTTGGAATGAAAGCATCAACATTGGTTCTTGACCTCCCATAGTTAAAATACCAAATATGGACCTGTCATTTATATATTGGCCTATGTAAACAAGGCAGGGGTACCAGTTCCAGCAAGCTCACTGAGTCCAGCTTCTTTTATGACTTAAGCTTATTAGTGTCACAACCAAATTCCATGTTATGTACCAGACTTTGCTATCCTCAGTTGTTATCAGCAAAGGTCAGCAAACAACTTACCATTAATAAATTAAAAATATGAAAGCCTAATTTGCTTTGAATTTCCAAGTATTGTCTATCATACGGGGTCGAAAAGATACTTTTGGGGGGATATGTTCGAAGCAGCGTCTGGCAACCATGGAATTGACCTGTGAACCCATCCTTGTGTGAAACAAGAATAAACAATAAAGGCCTGTGTACTGTCATAGAAAGTTCTTTATTAAAACAGAAGTTCATTTTGTAATCAGTTGACAAAATCTAAATAATTTAACCCTCACAGCTCTTTTGGTACATCAGATATGTGTATATGGGTGTCATATAGACCTGTCAGATAGGAAAAAGTATTGAACTTGAAACAATTTCCATTTGTTTCCAAGAAGCTACATCTATTTACAATGAATACATCACAAATTTGACAAGTGCAGTTTTAGACAGTTGTGTCTACAGGTTCTACTACACTAAATCAGAACTGGTTGTGACAGTGCGGTTTTCGTAGGGAGCCTTCAGTACAGATCAAGAGACATATGCAGGCTGTGATTGGATGATATTGTGTAAGATTTTTATGTCTTTTAAATGCACATCCATCCAGTAATTAAAACTGCCCATATTTTTCAATATTTGGTGCTGACTTTTTGAACAAGATGACTTGTGCTTTATGTGAGCACAGATATTTTCAAGCAGGTGATATTTGGTGCGGAACTGGGGTTGGTGTGTTCAGCTTCCTGTACTCGGAAAAGGAGCTGGGTAAACTAGCCAAAATTTGTGTTTTTATTGCAGCTTTAAGGCCAGACTGTGCACATATGTAAATGTTATGGCTGTTGAATGCCTAGTTGTTTTTTAAAAAGCTATAACGTTACTATAGAAGTCTATGGGAAAACATTTGGTTGTGTGTAACCTGTAGGGTAAGTGCATATTTCAGCATTTCCTAATTTATATGTTTTTCTGTATATCTATTGCCATGGAGACCTTTTGGGATAATTGTAGAGGCAAATTTGAACGCAAAATGGGTGAAGCGAGTGGGAAATGGGGTTGTAAGGAATGGTTGGGCTGCCGTGATAAGCAGGGCTATGGTCGTTGCTTCTTTTTGTGGCCGTCAAAGGCGCGGACAGAGGAGAGAGCTCACAGAATAGCCCTCTGCATTGTGCATAAATGCCTTCCAGATGGTTTTAGCAACACTGACAACTTTGGCAACAAAGTTGAAGTGAGCCATCTCTGTCATAACGCCTCTTGTGTGAATGTTGAGCATTTGAAAGTAGAGTCCCATGAAATTAACATGGAGAGACTTCACTGTCGACAACAGGGCTTGTGCACCAAAAGTCATAAACCCTACTGTTTGGTGTAAGTTATGTATCTGATCATTATATCTTTCTGTTTGGGGCAATTTTTAAGATGGATTATCCTATTTTGGGTGTAAATTTCTCAAATATGCATTTCTTTTCAATAACATGTCTTTCGAATAATGAACTTTTCTACAATGATGGAGTTTGAATAGTTCTAACTTTTTCCTTGCACGGCGGTCCTTACTTTTCTGTGATTTCTTGTATGTTTTAGCTTTAAGTACTTTATTATGACTTTTGCTTATCTCATCATCTATTTTTCCTTTTGCAGTGACAGCACAGCCAAGCCCTAATCGAAGATTGCGAATTGACTTTACCGGACTCTGGCAGTTGACGCTATGAACAGCACTGTGAGCTCTACCTTGGAAGTTACGAGCAAAGGTGGTATCGCGAGGTAATGACCGGCGCAATGCCTTGTTTGTTGCCTCACACTTTTGACTATTGAGGTTGAATTGCGTCTTTTCGATCATGTTCGGGCCGAGACGAAAATCAGTGCATTTTCTCAAATTTTGAAAGTTAGTTTCATTGTTTCCAATTTTGAAGTTTTTATCTAAATATTTACTTTGCAATAACCAATTTTTCTTCTCCCCCTTGCAAACAAATGACTGCCTTCTACATTTTCTGTGATCACCCATGTAACAGTTTGCAATAGCATCAGAAGTACATGAAAGAGATGTCTTCAACTTTGTCAGGTTACCTGCATGACTTGAGTAAGCAGCTGAGAACTCAGCTGCACATCTGGATGCACAGTCTAAAGAAAATGTATTTGCCAAACTTTGTTTGTCTTTTTTGGTTCTAGCAGGCATCATATCCACAACAAATTTAGAATTTTTAATAAACTTTCTATGGCTGGCCGAGAGATGCCGTGTATCGAGAAAAGTTTGTGGGGAAACATCCATATCACCTGCTTCATACATTTCAGAGAGAGCTGTGTGAGCTGCACTGTCAGCATCTGTTGTCAAAAATTCTACCTCAATTTGATCTTTCTTTAAGTCCCTGAAACACTCTGCAGCTAACTGTTTTTCATTACCAATTGATTCTGACATGTGCAAATCAGATGTGCAGTCTGGGTTGTTGACACAAGAAATGTTGTCAACTAAACTGTGCTTTGAACAGAGCTTTGATTTTGTGTTTAAAGCCAAAATTTGATGATCACTAGTTTGGTTCTCAGTGGCCACATAGGTTACCTGAGTGGCTGGCTGAAAAGGGGTTTTCCCAACACCTGAACAAAGTGGATTGTTGTACATTGCATCAGTTGATAAACTAATGTTATTTAAATTTGTTCCCCTGTATTTATTTATTTCCCTTATTTCCACCCTCCTGGCTCTCATATCCTTTGTGTTCTGAGATTTTATATTATCACAAACTCTGTTCGCAGCTTTCTGCATCCCTGAATGGGATGGTGGAGGTATATCGGCACTCATGCACAGGACACGGAAACTCTCACTTCCAATGGGACATTTTGAGAGGCCTATCTGAAGTCCAGTATTGGCAGTGGAAGATCGACGTCCCCTTCTCATTCCACTACCCTCTACCTCCTTGTAC